GGCCCATCAGAGCCACATGGCGGATGCCAACAGGAAACACATACCACGCTGGCCGGCGAGAAGCCCCGACTCAAACCCAGCTGCCGAGCCACATGGTGGAAGAACTCCGAATCCATGGACATCTGGGCCAGGGACAGGTCCGGATTCTCCAACAGCAAGGCGCCAGCCGAGGCAAGGGATGCCGACACCAGGCGCGCCGCCCGGCCAAGGTACTCCTCCAGTACCTCGGTGGTGGCGTCCAACGCCCGGCCACTCAGGTGGCTGAAGCCCACCGAGGAGAAAACCGCAGACACGGCCCGTGTGATGTGGGCCCGCGCCGTGGCGGCGTCCAGGTGCACGGCCGTCTGCGGGGCCGCGCTGGCCACCTGCCCAAGCTGGGCCAGGATGTCCGGCTCGGGCGCCGGACTCACAGCAGAAGCAGCGGCATCCAGGGAGGGCATCATGCCCTCGGCCGTGTTGGCGCACAAGAGCCGAGCGGCATCGACCGATGCCTGGCGGAGCCAATCCCACGGAGGGAGGATCGTCAGTAAACACCGGGAGAAGAGCCAGCCCCTTTGAAGAGGAGAGACGGCCGGAGTTCCGAGTGTGTGTGTGTGTGTGTGTGTGTGTGTGTGCGAGGGGTGGGGCGTGCGGGGAGGGGGAAGAGAGAGAGAGAGAGAGCGCGCGAGAGAGAGAGAGAAAGAGAGAGAGAAAGAGACAAATAAATGCCTGGGGGCCCGCGCACCAGCATTTTCGAGAGCGAGGGGACCCGCTTTGCCGCCGAATCGCCGCTGGCAAGCGAGGGCAGCACAGCCTCCAGCTCGATGATGTCGGTCAACAGACGCTTGGCATGCTGCGCATGCATGATGCTGGCTGTGCGCTCGACCATCGGACGCGAGCCAGACAGCGAAAAGTCGGCTGCCCGGTAGGGGAGGTGGGCACTGGGCCAGGAGCGAGGGACAGGAGCAAAGAGCACAGAAGGCAACACATGTCAGGCGGGGCGTGTGAGGGGAAAGGGGGGACAGCAGATAGGAAAGCAGGCCTGGTGCGGTAGAAGGAGGGGGGGGGGGGACGCACGTGCGAGCCGGCCGCATATGCTCCAAACTCGGCAGCGAAGGGGCGCCATGGAGCTCTGGCAAGAAAATGGCCTCCGAAATCGGGCGCCCCTGCGGGGTGTCCACCGGACCGGGGGAGCCCGGCCCGGACGCCGGGACCCCGGCACCCACGACCGCCGCGCAATCCAACCCCAGCCGGCGTCGCGTCAGCTGGAATTGCGACAGGCCCTCGACCAGCAGCTGCTGGCTCAAAAGCACATGTGCCGATGAGGAAGGCTCCCGCAGCACCGAGGCCGCCGACTGCCAGAAGGATGCCGCCCTGGGCTCGACCCCGACAGGGCCACCAGCCGGCGTGTGACGCAGCAGCAACCCGGAGGCCCGGCACGGGGCGCACAGATCGGCAACTTGCCCGGCCTGCTCGGGCCCGCTGGACGACGCTGGGCGGATGCGCTTGCACGGGCTGCCCGAGTCCGTGGGGTCCGGCAGTCGGGGGCGCTTTTCCGGCTCCTGGAGCAGCACCAGCCCCGGCGCAAAGGCCCTCGGTGCCGATGCCACCGGGCCCGGCAGCATCGCCCCTGGACACAAGGATACGGCGGCCGCCGGGGCATCGTCAATCGCCAGGGGGAAGCCAAGGGCCGCGGCTGGCGACGCGCCAAACGGCCGACCAGCCAGAGCCCCGGCACACACTTGGAAAACAGGCTGTGAAGGGCCGGCCCCGGGGGGCCCCCCGGCCAGCAGGGACCCCGCCACCGGGCCACTGAGAGGGCTTTCCGAGAGGAAGGCCTCGCGCAGGAGGCCCGGACTGCGCACACTCGCCGACCGCTCGCCCAGGGGCAGAGAAAGCTGCTGCTGCAACTGATCGACAAAGGCTCGGTACGATCGCCGGAGTCGGAGGAGGGCCGCAGCTCCCGGGGCTGCCGAGCCGGCCTTCGCCGCCGATAAATTGGCAAAGCAAACCTCCAACATGAGGGACACCCGTCGAGAGGGGCAGCCACCGGCCGCCAGACGGGCCTTGGCCGCGGCGGCGCGCTGCGGCGAAGCCGCCACCACCAGTGCCCTCGGAGCCACGGGGCTCGGCGAAGATGCCGAGGCACCCGACCCGGGCTGAAGAAGCACCGCCCGCAGCACCCGGTCAGGCCCATTGGCAGCATCCATGTCAGGCACATCGGACCAGGGGGCCCGGACAGCGGGCACTTCGATCACCTCGGGAGCCGCATCGCCGCCGGTGCCCACCATGACGCCGGCCGAGTCGCCCGCCCTGGCGCCCGCGGCCCCGGGAGAGGAGGGCGCAGTGGACCCGGCCTCGGGATGTCCGGTGCTCGCGGCGCTGCCAGAACCCCTCGAGCCACCAGGCGAAAGGCCTCCCTCGCAAATACCCCCCTCAAGGGGAGACTGATCTGCAGACCCGGGCAGGGCCGCTGCCGCTGCGGCCGCCGCCGCCGCCGCCGCCGCCGCCGCGGGATCCGCATATGCCGAGGTGGACTCCTCGGACCCGGCCCCGGCCACGAGCTTCTTCTTCTGCTGGGCCGTCACATCGGCGGCCTGCCGGGCCTGTTCGGCCTGCTGCTGTTGGTGCTGCTGCTGCTGCTGCTGTTGCTCCAATTGCAGCTGCTCCTGCTTCTGTTGTAGGGCCAATGCGGCGGCCTGACGCGCGCGACGTACCGCCGTCAGCACCAACTTCTCGGCCGCCTCTCGATCAAGCAGAGCCGACTCCGCGTCCGGGCGCAAAGCTTGGAATTCCGCCTGGAGGAGAGCCTCCACCGCTGGATCGCTCAGCGCCGTGGCCGCCGGCAGGAAGGTCTTCAAAGGGTCCCAGGAGGAGGTGCCGGCCGTGGGATCGGTGGTGCCGGTCCCGGCGGCCGAAGGGAAATGCATGCGAGCACCGAGACGCTGCATTTCCTGGCGTTCCCTTTGCCTTTGCATAGAAAGTTCTACACATCGAAGGTGGGTGGGGCAAGGTCAAAGGCAACGGCAAGGGTGAGTGTTTGCAAGAAGAAGATGATGAATCGTCTAGAGAAGGGAAGTCTGGCCGGCGAGGCAGCGAGAGCAGAGAAGAGGGAGAAGAGAGAGAAAGAGAGAGAAAGAGAGAGGAAGAGAGAGAAAGAGAAACAGAGAAAGAGTGCGTGTGTGTATGTGTGTGTGTGTGTGTGACAGAGAGAGAGACTAAGTACCTTGGAAACGCTCCGGCTCAGCAGACCGCTCAATGATCTCCAGATCGGGGATATCGCCCTTCAGTTGCTCCCACCGCTTGCGCAGGGCAAAGGCATCGCGCACCACCTCCCGCGAGTGGTCGGTGCCGTTGAAGGTTTCGCAATTGGTGAAGATCAGCTCCACATCGTCGCAAAACTGGCGCTTGGACAGGTAGCTGCGGTTGACGATGCGCCGGTTGATGGTGCTCAGATCCACGGGATTCCGGATGAGCTCGTGGTAGTTCGGATACTCCTTTCGGCTGACCGGCTTGGCGAAGTACTTGGCGTGGCCGCTGTTCTGGAGGCTATGGATGATCTACATACATGACCGAGAAGAGCGGGGGGGGGGGGGGAGGGGGGGCGGGCAAGACCGCCCAAGGGACATCGGGAGACTGTCAGGGAAAAGGCCCAGCGGGCAGGCTGCAGAAGAGGGGCAGGGCCGAGGCGAGGAAGGGCGCCGCACATATTCAAAGCGATCGTAGAGCTCCGCTTGATTCAGTCTGTCAGGACTATCCCATCGGGACTTGGGCGGCGGCCGGATGGCATTCAGGAGCTGCGAGCACAGCCAGGAGAGAAGGACAGGCGGGAAAAGAGGCAGAGGGAGCAGACACAGAGAGACAGAGAGGAACAGGTCAATCGCACGGGCAAACACACACACACACACACACACAGCAGAAGGGGGCGGCGGACCACGAACGGACCTGGAAAACTTGCTCCACATCCAGCCGATCGCGTGGGAACTCCTCTGACAAGACAACCGTGCTTTCGATACTCTGGCTGAGCTCGGTCGATGCGCCCTCCAAAGAGAAGGGCCCAGAGAGGGCTCGCAAAAGGGGCGGGAAGGAGGTGGATTCCAGGCGCGATTGGAGTTCTGCCGCCGGCGACGCCACGGAGGCATCCTCCGTGGCCGGCCCCGCGGGCGCCGGGCTCCGCTGCTTGGAGTCCGGAGCATCGCCGACGCTGGACGCCGCCGGAACACTTGAGCTCCGGTTGGCGGCCGGCTCCTCCAAACTGAATGGGACATCCGAAAGCGGGACAATTTCCTCCCCGCCATGCGACACCCGGTGGCCGATGAGCGACCACAAATGGCGGAAGGGCAGGGAACTTGCCCCGGCCGGTGGCCCGGCCGGAGCCGACGAAACGGCGGCCACCGGCCCCTGGGCAGGCGCCCTGGCGGCAACGGTCGACTCCCCGGAGCCAAAACGCAGGGTAACCAGCGGACCGGGGGCGGTCTCGGCACCTGCGTTGGGCCGGGGCAACCGGGCCGGGGTCACAGCCGGCGATCCGCGACCCGGGGTGCCCGGCTGGCGGGACTTGGGAGAGTCAACAGGGGGGTCCGAACGTGCGACCACCGTTCGTTGCTATCGCCGGGCACAGGTCAGTCGGTCGGTTCCATGGGGCAAGGGAGGCAGGGGCAGTCGCAGCAAAGAAGGTCATGTGTGGACGCACAGGCGAAGAGGGAGGCGAGGGGGTCTCAAATGTGTCGTCGCTGAAGTCCTCCGCAACAGCGGATTCCAACTTGATAGACAGCTCCTCGGGGGGGGGGGTCTTGCGAGATGAGGAGTCGGCTGCTCCGGGCGACGATACTGCCAGGCCGTCGGGCGCCACGCTGCCGGCGCCCTCGCCATCACCGACATCACCGGCACCCGGGCTTTCCCGTTCCTTCTCCTCCTCCTCCTCCTCATCCTCTTCCTCCTCGGACCCATCATCGCCAGAGGCCAGCCCATCAAGAAGCAGATAGGGCGGGTACTCAAGCGGGGCAGAGAGGCCACACAGGATGGCGGCCTCATTGGCCGGTGCTGCGTCCACCAAGTCAAGCATCGTCCCGTCCGTGAGGCTGACACCAAATGCCGGGCCCGAGCCCGGGCTCCCGACCGGCAGGGCCGCCAATGGGACCGGCCGGGACAGCAGCAGCCCGGCCCAGGGATGGGTCCCACGGAGGATCGCCGAGTCGGGATGGCATTCCAATGGCAGGGCCACCCCGAGCGGGCCTTGGAAGGCCAGCGCGCCGCCCCACGCTGGGGGCATATCCCGAAGATCCGGATCAGCCAGGTCCTTGAGACTCGGACGTGGGCCCGGTCCCCGGAGCGTGGCCTGCTGGAGACCCAGTACAAGCGGGTCCTCCGGGCCGGGAGCAACCAGAGGAGCTGGCACGGGCAGTTGACCACCTGAGGGAGCACATTCTGCCGACATGTCGGCCCCGGGCCCGGTGGCCAGGCCATTGGCAGGGGCGGGGGTTGTGCCGGCGCCGGGGCCGTCGACGGAGTCCCCTCTGGTGACGGGGTCGCCGGTCGACCTGGCCGGATCAGAGGCCAAGGTGGCAGGCCCCTCGGCCGGCACGACAGCTGAAAGCATGGCCGGGGTGTTGGGCGTGGTCGGGCTCAGGGTGGTGGCCGCCGCTTGCGGAGAGGGAGGCACACGGGGCGTGGGAGACTGGTGACGCGCGCGTCCAGCCGGCGCCGATGCCGATGCCGATGCCGATGCCGATGCCGATGCCGATGCCGATGCCGACCCGGGACTCAATGGTGAGGCAGCGCCGGGTCCGGTGGCCTTTGGCTGGGGGGATGGCGAGAAGTTCCCCGGGCCCGCGTTTGTAGATGAGCCGAGGAGCCCGGCGCGTGTCGGTGTCAAGGCAGATGCTGACGTGGCCGACAGATCGTCAGCGGCTCCGGCCTCACCGGGAAGGGCAGCGACCATGCGCGGCTGGCTCAATGACAGCGAGGAAATCAGCTCCGAAGTGGGGGACGAGGCGCCCGGTGAAGCGGCCGCCAGGGACGCCGCTCGCCCAGGGGTGTGGGGCGAGAAGGCCCCATGAAAGGGGGGAAAGCGTCCGGGCCGAGTCGGCGTGGTGACCGGCGCGGTTGGGTTCGAGGCAGGGGCTGCATCTTCCCCGGGGGCTGGAGCCGCCGGAGGTGGCTTCGGGCCATCCGACAGGGGGGGTGGCATTATGGGTGGCCGAGGGCAACGGCAGCCGGCATAGCCACACACACCGGGAGGTGGGGTGGGGTAGGGGGG